TTTTTTTCTAAATGTGGAGACATGTAATGCTAGTGAAAAGGAAACGTCTTTGGTGAATACGGTTAGTTAGTTGTTCTCCAGTTAATCAAGATTCTGCTGTACTCAGACTTTTGTGTGTGCTTCTTTCAGACTGGTTTGTGGTGCTTGTGCTTCTTAAATCGGTTCAAAATAAGCACTGTTCAAAATGAGTATAATGTGCAGAAAGTGTACAATATACATAAGAATATATAGTTCATGTCTTTGATGATCAACAGAATGTTTAAATAATTGTTAATATTTCCTGAAATCTTTTTAAGGGGATTATCTTTAATGCGAACCTCTCAGTAGACCTAACTTATCTACACTAGAGTTTCTCCATCTCTGCACTATTGATATTTTGAGCCAGATTTTATTGTGGGGGAGCTGTCCCATGTCCTACAGAATGATTTTCACAATTGCAAGTCTCCACCCTCTTGGAGCCAGTAACACAAACACACTTCCCTCCCCTCCAGCTGTGATGAGTGAAAATTTCTTTAGATTTCGCCTAATGGCTCCTTGGAAGCAGCATTACCAACTCCCAGAACAGCTGTGCTCCACATCCTTTTTATCACATGTGCCACCTTTTATTAATGTTGTCATTCATGTAGTAACCCAGATTAAAATAATATTTTTACAACTTTCAAAGGTTTTAGTCTATTTGGAAACATTAGGTGGGTTTCAATTTCCCTTCCATTTACAAAACTGAACCAAATTTGAACTCGTCCACTTTCAGTCCTTAAAAAAATATCCTATGATAATACTCAAAAGACCGGATTGACAGCCTTAACACAAGTCATCCATTTAGTCACCAAAGAAAAATGTTGGACTGGAACACGAATTTCAGTACTGAGAAACAGTAATAAACATATCTTGAGCCAATGGTGGTGAAACTATGGCACGCATCTTAATTGTTTTTCTTTTACGATAAAAGATGTTCAGGTATGAGTTGTGTTTTCTTAACTAAAGCTTCAGTATTCAAATTTGATTGCGGCGAGGTTCTTGGTGATAAAGAAGTAGGTTTCCTATGCAGTTTGGGCACTTGTCTCTAAAAGGTTCTCTGGCACTGTCCTAGGCTGTGCTGATGGATTTATTGTAGTCTGTGGGCATTTGTCACTTTGTTGTGACATTGACCTTTGAATTTATAATTTACTTGTGCTAGGTCTGATGAGTAGGCATGGGTACCAGGGAGCAACTCTGCTCTGGATCACATATTATCATATGTATTTTCTACCCTGTATACTGGTTTGTTGGCTCATGGAAATAACTATGTAAATTGGAATTAGCATCACACCTAGCCCAGCATCTTTTCTTATCTCTGCACCTTTGACATGTTGTCTCTTTTAATTCCTCAAGAAACAGGTTTACAGTCTTCTTTCCCACCTGCAGATCTGATCATGCCCCTGTTTTTTTTATTATTTAAAAGGAAAAAGAAAAAAACAAAACAAAACAAAGCAAAACAGTGTAAGGATACAAGTAATACAGAACTACAAAAAAAACAAACAGTAAGAAATCACCAGCTAATAGATTACACATTGTCATCTTAGAAATAGTTGCTCAAGTCACAGGATCAAAGCATACAAAGTGAACACAACTATCAACAGTTGTGTTCAATGATCCGACAAAAACTCAGTAATACGGTCATCTATCCTAACACACCTAAACACACTTGCAGTTATATCCTTTAGAACACTTTTTTTCTCTCTTTTTTACAACAAAATTTACACATTTTGGGTTTTATTACTCCCATATTTCTTATTACTTTTGATCATGCCCCTGTCTTACTCAAGGTTTATGAATGACTAGCCATCATGGTGGACGGAAATTGAACTACTTCATATCGCCTGCAGAGGAGGCTCTACAGGCTCTGACCCTGACTTCAGGTTGTCTTTATCCTCTACTTTTTTCCCAGATTCTGGCTTTCTGAGGTCCTGTTTAACCTGTTCTCTCCAACTCATGTGCCTTAACCCCTGTTGCTTTCCCCAAAGTTGTGTCTCTACTGGACAAACCCTCATTCCTCATCATCATCTTTCATGTCTCCTTTGAAACACTCCTTTCTCTTTAAGGCCTTCCTTGATCTCCGGGCAGATGGCAAAGCCTGTGTGCTAGACACCCATTGCTTTTGGTATTATTCTTAATATCACTATTTGTGTACTTTATAGATTGCTTGCATACTTCCTACTTGAACATTAACTCTCTGAAGGCAAGGACTATTTTGTCTTTTTAATAAAACAAAGTCTACTGAAGTGCTCAGCATGTAATAAGTACTGATTACATATTGATTGAACTAATGACCGTAGAAGGTATAGAAATAAGAACAAAATATTTCTTCTAGGAATTGGTTTGTTTCACTAGTAAACTAGAGTTCAGAGATTGGCAAACTACTTTGGCCATATCCAGCCTGCCATCTGCTTTTGAAAGTAAAGCATTGTTGAAATATGTCACATTCATTCATTTATAAAGTACCTTTGGATACTTATGTGCCCCAAAGCAGAGTCAGCTAGTTGTGACAGAGACCACATGGCCTACAAAGCCTAAAATGTTTACTGTCTGACTCTTGAGAGAAAAGGGATGCATTTGCTGCTGTTCATAATCAGGCACACTCTATTTCGTGTTTTTAAGGGACAAGTACATAACTGTATATTTATACTCCAGACAGCAAATTTCCCCTTTGGATCACTATGTTTCTTATTTAAAAGTTGAAAATTCCTCTGGGACTTTTCATCTGGGGGAGGAAGCACAATTCATCAATAACATACCTTGTGGTATCCTAAGCTTAGAGAATGTGACCCACAAGCATAGACAAGGCCCAAGTCCCCAAATCAACTGTTTTAACCTGAGCTCAGTCTAGTTAGACCAAAAAAGAAAAAAAAAATCAAAATACACTGGCTTGGGAGAATTTCCTTTAGTTTGCCAGGTGTTCCTGTGCCCTACTCATTCTGCTGAGACTTACTCACTCGCGCCTCTGTCCCATTTCCCTTCCTCTCCCCATTCTCCCTCGCACACTGTCTTCCCTGCGCTTTTGGTACCTACTAGTATAGCAGGGTCCATGGCTGGAAACTTAGATATGTCAAGACCAACAGAAGCTCTCATTTCCTTTAGCCCTTACTCAATGTTTCCGGGTCTCTCTATCTAAAACCATACCTCCTTTTCCTCTATGCCCCCTGCTCCGAGGGTTTTTCCTCCCTAGCAGTTATCCATATTTAACATACTACACCTCTTTCTTACTTCACTCGTTTTCTTTTCCTCCATTATATAATATCTCCATTTTTGAAGAAATAAATGAAATACCAGATAAAGAGGGGGAAATGTCAAAGAATTAGTGTAGTGCCATTTACTCTTTGCAGTGAGCATCCTAGGCAGGAAGCTGCCACCAGGGTGGAACAGCAGTATCTTGATAGTGACTGGGCCAGTCTTTTTTGTCTCCCTTCTCTAAAGTGAGTGACTTCTTCAATATGGTGAAGTTTTAAGAGGTTCTATGAACCAGCCTCTCTCCATCCCCTGAGAAACTTCTCCATTGCTGAAAATATGTCGTCTCTTGAAATTTTGATACTCTTGCTGGTTCCTATGGTTTTCAGGAAATCCACTTCAGTAAGAAGATGCTGGATTTCACAGGATGGTGAAGAGCCCTTCCTTGAGCCGTTGCTTAGTCACTGTCTGTACTGGGGGTGGCCCAACACTCTTGTGCACAGAAGAGTCGGGTGTGAGTGCACACAAGTGCACTCTTGACATTTGTAGCAATCTTGGCTTTGACTCTGAGATGTAGACTATTTTAACATCAAATGTTTCTATAAATATACATACTTTACTGATCTCATACTTAGTGGAATTAACACAGCTCCTGAGAGTGCCCTAAATAGAAACTCAGGGCTAAGACTTTACCCTGGAGTTTAGTGCCATAGATTCTTAGCTTGAGGCTGGATAATGTGAGGAAAACGACTTAAACTTCTCAAGACTCGGTTTCATCCTCTGTCTTCTTGTAATGGTACATTATTACAATATTAAGTATTTTTGGATAATTATAAGTAAATGCTTTACTACATATAAAAGTTAAAGTCAGCCTTCTTTATACATATTCTTGAGTTCCACATCCACAGATTCAACTAACCATGGATCAAATTTTTTTCAAAATAAAAAAAAATATTGCACTTATATTAACCATATACAGAATTTTTCTAAGCTTTATTCTTAAGCAATATAGTATGACAACTATTTACTGAGTAATTATATTATAAAAGCAATTAAAAGTAATCAGGGACAATTCAAAGTATACAGAAAGATATACATGGTTTATGTGTAAATACCATCATTTTAAATAAAAGATTTGAACGTCTGCCTATTTTTATAACTGCAGGATTCCTGGAATCAATCTTGTATGGACACAAGGAAAAATAATATTAACATATATTATAAATAGTATGCATTAGTATACATTATAATTATATTAGTAGATATAATTAATAAATATATTATTTTAAAGGATGTTATTATACTATCAAATTTTATATAAGATAGGGTAAGATGTTGGCTACTTCACCAGATCATTGAGTGGCTTAATTGTGAAGTTCCTGGTGCAATTACTGACACATGGGAAACTCTCAAACACAATTTCCCTCCTCTTTCTAGTGAACATGACACCAATTAGCAATTTTGCATGTTAATGAACTATAAAGACTAAATATCCTGTATGGTTCCTATAAGAGGGAGACAATACATGGGAGCTTTTCAACACTTTTTTATTAGTTTTCTTGGGCCTGTATATGCATCATCAGAAATCATATGACCCAGTAACTTCTTTATATTTTGATTTTTGAGACTAGGTGAGAAAATCAATGGCAAAAAGAGAGGATTTGGTTTTGGGAATCAAGCACCAATTATGGGACCCAAAGGTGAAATATGTCTGCCTTACAGACAAAGAAAATGGATGAGGTTTGTGAGAATTAGGTGAACTACGTAAAAGCTAATGTTTTTCCTTTGGCCTACAGGGTGATTTCACCTGGAACAGCATGTCGGGCCGCAGCGTGCGGCTGAGGTCAGTCCCCATCCAGAGTCTCTCAGAATTGGAGCGGGCCCGGCTGCAGGAAGTGGCTTTTTATCAGTTGCAGCAGGACTGTGACCTGAGCTGTCAGATCACCATTCCCAAAGGTAAGGCCCTGTCTGCCCTTCTGCTGGGGAACACTGCAAGTCAAACATCTGCTCTGCCAAAGCTGCAAGCTGCAAGCTCTTCTCACACCTACCATTAACACAGGAAGGAAGCTCCAACTTTGGTTGTTGGCTGGCATTCATGTCCATTTTGAAATACAAGTCCAAGCAGGACAATTTGCATGTCAGCTAACACATTTGATGAGTTGCAGAGTCAACTTGCAGCGTTCCACAGGAAAAACAGTGGTCCTCATAAACTTCACCAAAACCAATGAGACAGAACTTTCAGAAAGGGCAACTCAAAGGGTTAGAAGAAAAGTTGAATCTGTCTCAACTTGATTGCAAAATCAACACATGAAAGCAACACCTCACCACTGTGGTATACTTGTCATTTTACCTTATGCAAAATTAGCATCCGGGATTGTATGGAGATGAACAACTTTGTCTCCAATGTTTTAACTCCATTTGCCTAGGTTGGGCTTTACCACTCTGACATTGGAGCCCAGGCACAGCTGCCTGTGTGATCTTCTGATGTAGCTCTTGATCCCTGTAAAGATGAGTTGCTGGACTTGGATTCTTTTAATGCATGAAAGTCTGCTCTAAATGTTTACTAGTATTTATGAAGATACTTTTAATATTTGTATTATTATGTAGTTAATTTGAGGCAGAATGAAAAGCTAATATTATACATACACTGAGTCATAAAATGTAACATTGGTCAGTGAGCTTGAAACATAAAGGAAAGCAAAAAAGGATAAAAATTTTTGAAAAGCTAGATACTTCATAAGTACTTATTTCCTCATCAAGTAATCAGAGACACATATGTGTATATCACACACAGAGACACATGTGCATACAGTATATGCATATACACATATATACATACATATATTGTTCTCAATTGTGATGACTTTACTTCCTATTCACAGGGGACAATTGCCAATTGCTGGCCACACATTTAGTTGTCACTGCTTGGGGGAAGGGTTCTACTGGAATCTGGTTGACAGGCCAGGGGTGCTTCTAAGTACCATACTATACAGAGGATAGCCCCCCAGACAAGAATTATCAAGCTCCAAGTACATGTATGCCAAAGTTGAGCAAACTTACCTCCCTTATCTGTCCCTAAAGGAAGGACTGTTGAGCACCACACATTGGGAAATAGTTTAATTATCCCTCACCCAGGTAATTTCAGCAGTTTGGCTCTGCAATAGGAGGCTTGGTTCTTGACTAGAGTAGCACAAGGACACTGAACACCTAGGGTTTGCTGTTGGTGAGTTTCAGGGCCTTGCCCTCTGCCTTGAATCCGATTCTTGGGGATCACAAGAGAGTTTAGAAGGGGGTGGGAATGCATGCATCTCACTGACAGGTGCCTTGCTCCTTTGGCTTTCTTGTCACCCTGTTGCCAACACAACCACAGCCATCTCCTCCAGACAGCAAGTCCCCACCCACGTTATGACTTTTAATACTAATCTCCCACAGAGAGGTCCTCAGCACAGCTAAGAACGGAGTCACTAAGGCAGTTTTAACAACTGTCAGGCCATGTTGCTGTTTCTTTGAAGGACAGACCCTCCTACATCATCTGGTTTGGGTTTTATTGCAGGATGGAGATGAGGACTGCCTTCCCCTCCCACTTAGCTCCCAATGTGGTTCATGCACACCCAACCCATTCAGCCAGTCCTTTTCCCTTTCATCATGACCATAAACGCTCTTTACATTCACAAAATATAAGCAATGCATGGTGGTGCACAGTAAGGCAAGAGGATGACAAGTTCAAGGTCAGCTTGAGCAGTTTAGTGAGACGTAGTCTCAAAATTTAATAAAGGACAGGGATGTGGTTCAATCCCCAGAACTGCAAAACAAAAGAAAAAAGTGCTGTGGAAATTCACCTTATAACGAAGGGAATGGTGACTTTGAAAAGTTTTGAAACAGTTCAGTGGCTCCACATCAGATAAGCCATCAGGAAACTTTGTAGTTTTGCTTTTAAGTCCATTTAACTTGATGCTTATCTTTGTTTCTACTACGTTCAATCCGTAAAACAATCTTTACTGAACAGATAGTTTTATAAAACTTGTCTGACAAAGGTTCTGTCACCATTGCTTTCTTCTGATTATGTGGTTCCTCATACCTTTAGGGAAAATTCATGCTATTGAGATGTTTGAAGATATTGTCAGGGCATTGCAGAATTTCTATCAAAATGGGGATTAAAGATTTACAAGGTAAATTTTCTCACTTATGGAGGGGAGAAGGAATTGGATGGCGAAGTGGCAAAACCAGACCTTACCCAAGAGTCTCTAAAGCTATTGTTTTGTTCAGCATGTTATAGATGTGGACTAATGGTGATCCTATGAAAGTGTAGCTAGTGATAAGTGCTATGATAGCAGCTTTGGTCTAAATGTGGCCACGTGGTTCCTGTGCAAACCCCCAAGGAAGGGTCTAAAATAGTGTCAGATTCACTGCATGAAAAGTTTTCTCAGGAAAATAAATACATTAAACAGAGCCTACAATTTAAAAAATGCTACACCTTGAAAGACTGGAAATAATGAAAAGGAAAACATAATCAAACTCATCCCTTCATGGTGCCCACATTGACTTAACTTACACATGGCTAGTTGAAGAACTGTCTACTTCTGTGAGACTGGTGCTTCTGGGGTCAGATGAGTGGTACTACTATATAGCCTGTCATCAGCTACCTACTGGAATTTAGTAGAAAGAAGGAAGAACAGAGGATGGGGCTGGGGAGTCACTGGCATGATTTCCTAGGACAGACCACGGGGAGACCCAGGGTGCAAGAAAAGGGCTTGATCTTTGCTGGTGCTATAACTATAAGTGGAGGTGGCTTATATGAACATAGGTGCAAGTGAGTCAGTAGATAGATGGTGGAGATCATATGGAATTTCACTACAGATTGATTCTCTGCTTCTAGTGAAACAGGAAGCAATTTCACCCACCAGGATAAGGGTGTGACAGAACTATTGGAGATTTGGGAAGAGAGGAGGAACAGAAGAGAGGAGATCTACTGCACCAGCAGTATTTCAGGCAGGCAACCAAAAGTCTATTTGACATTAGTAACTGGAAATTTCAGATGCAAAATAAATCTTCTGGCGGCTCAGCACTATTAAAACAGAACATATCATTTCTGTGCTTAAAATTCATTATCTCTAGTTAATCCAAATCTCCTCTATTTAGGCTTAGAGTTTTCTGGTTGAGTTTAGTGAAAGTAAAGAAGGACATCACAATTAAATGTATCTGTGCTCCGTAGAATAATAGCCCCCCACAAACGTGTTGCCAAACTCACCAAAAGGAACTTTGAAAATGGAATAAATTAAGGTTTCTGAGATGAGATTATCCTGGATTGTATGAAAGGGTCCAAACTAAGCATGCAGGTACCTAGTTAAGAGTGGAGAAAGTTTCCCAACTATGTCAAGAAGGACAGTGTTGTTGGCTTTGAAGATGGAAGAGGGGCTCAGAAGTCAAGCAATGAGGGTGGTCTCTAGCAACTGCAAAAATGAAAGAAATAGATTTTACCCTAGAGTGTCTAAAAAGGAACACATCCCTGCTGACACCTTGGTTATCTCCGTTGAGACTCATTTTAGTCTTCTGTCTTCAGAATTCTAAGATAATAATTTTGAATTGTTTGCCATCAAGTTTGGGGTCATTTGTTTCAGCAGTAACAAGAAATTAGTACAATATCCAACAGAATTATAATCCCAGACCATGGGATCTACATTGGATAATAAGGAATAAATATAAATATAATGGGATGGGGATTTAGCTCAGTGGTGTAAGCGCCTGCCTGGCAAGCACAAGATTGTGCTTCAATCTCAGTACCAAAAAAACTAAAATACAAAACAAATAAAATAAATGTATTATGTTATATTTATATGTTATTATTATATTATACATTATTATGTTATATTCATATATATAAAATATATATTTATGAATAAATATAAAACATATTTTCTACAGTAAAAAGAAATAATATAAAGATTTAATGATGCCATCAGTTGTCTATAAGCTGAATGATTCTAAAAATAAATGTACCAACAGAGTGTTTTTGGTAATTTCATTAAATTAATCTGAATATCATTTGAGCAAATAATTATAGGAAAGTGGTCAGAGGAGATTTGATAAAGAAGACTAATAAAGATGACCCTTTTATATTTGGATACTATACTGTGGCATACTCAGTTAGATGCAACAGAGTTCCAAAATAAATCTAAATATACACAAGAATTTATTACATAATGAATATGTACTTTTAAATTTTATTTTCTAAAATTTCTTAGTTTTCTTATATAAATTATTATTATATTTGAGGCAATATTATTGGGGAAGTAAAACTGGATTCTGACCTTATTCCTTACATCAAAATTGATTGATGTGGATGAAATATTTGAAGATAAAAACAAAACCATGTGAGTATCAGAAGAAAACAGAACTGGATATTTGTATATTAAGAAAGCACAACCCAGAAAACATAAAGACAAGGACAAATCTCACTACACAAATATACAATCATCTGTGTGACAACTAAAAATTCATAACACATTTGACAAACTAAATGCTAATTTCCTTACTTTATAAGCTCTATTAAAAATTAAATAAGGATGAAAATCTAAAATATAGACAAATTACGGGCAGCTCATAGAAAAAGAATTGAAATAAAACAAAAATAATTGCAAATATGCTTTAACTAAAGAAATATACACTAAACACAAGGGAAATTTTTTAAATAAAATTGCTATGAATCTAAAAGTTGGCAATATGCTTGATGAAGAAATACACAATCTCACGTACTCTTGACAGGAGTATGAGTTGTTACAGCAATATACAAGACAATTTGGCAGCATCTAAATTTTAAATGGTTCAATGAGTGTATATCTAAAAGCATATCTCACAGGTAAACATTATAGTGTTAGTTGACCTAGATTAACTACTCATTACCTTAATTCAAAAAAATATTTTTTATTTTTTATTAGTATATATTTGCAGTACCTAAT